TAACGTCCGTTATCATCTACTTTAAAAATGATTTTCACTTTATGCTAGGCATACTTTTCACTTGTAGCTGGTTTCATTCGAAAACAAGAAATTGGCATTTGTTAACCCACCGTATGACGAATCATTCGATATATGGCAGGTCTTTTCTTACAGTGTAGATGAACAAAAGTTCACCCGTGCACTCGACCAACAGTTCTTAAGTTGAATTATCTGAAACTGAAAATATCTGTGGACTAATCCTGATTTTTTTCTGAGATTATGGGAGCTGACGAAGTGTTGGCCAATCACAGCAGCATTCTCAACAGGAATTATAAGATGAATCACTGAATCATCGGGACGATTCAGTTGAACCAGTGGTGGAATGGATCTGGGCTTATTTTTATGATTCTGGTTAACTTCCGGAAAGGCTTTGCACAATCTGGGAGAGAATGGATCTTATTGACAAAATCGATATTTCTGAGATCCAACATCCGGCTTGAATGATCTTTGTTAATCGATTACAATTGGTCTTCAAGTTAGGTAGACCAGTACGCTGGTTCTGCCTACGAATGGTGTTACGGAGTCTAATGAGGTCTTTAGTATAGCTGTCAAGGTTCAGAGTGTTACTCACTTGTCTGGATACTGACACGTGTTGTTTTCTGGCCCGGGAAATTGCCTCCTCGATAGTATGTAGGCACCTGTCAACATCTTCGGACGTCTCCGGTTGGACATCGTAGTCGATGGTTGTGTCGACGCAGTGTTTTTTTTTAACTCTTTATTTGTTCCAAATTCAAAATAAATTACATTTCATTTTAACCTAGGTGCTTCAGTTACTACAGTAACTTACCAGCCTTAATTGTTATGATGTATATCTAAGTGTTTTTACATTGTTCCTTCCTTGGCAATTCAGTATTTTAAACAGGTTTTTTTTAAACCTGCATGTCAGTATTACAATTGAAATCTTAAAACTAAAAGCTAAAACTTAATCTTATCTAAGTATAAATTATTAATAATTTAATTGGAAGTTGTTCTAAAGTCTCAACATTCGAAATTCTATGTACCTCGGTAGTACTGTACCAGGGAGGCAACTTCAAAATCATCTTCAGAACTTTGTTCTGAATCCTTTGAAGTGCTTTTTTCCTGAAAGTGCATCAACTAGACCATATTGGCAGAGCGTAAAGCATGGCCGGTCTAAAAACTTGTTTAAATATTAGAAGTGTATTCGTCAGGCAAAGTTTGGATTTCCTGTTTATAAGAGGATACAAACATTTTATATATTTATTACATTTGGTTTGAATGCCCTCAATGTGATCTTTAAAAGTTAATTTTTGCTCAAGTATTAATCCAAAATATTTCACTTGGTTTGACCAGGAAATTGGAACTCCGTTCATAGTGAATATGTGACTACTACTAGGTTTCAAAAAAGAAGCTCTAGGCTTATGTGGAAATATTATAAGTTGAGTTTTGGAAGCGTTTGGAGAAATCTTCCATTTTTGTAAATAAGAAGAGAAAATATCTAAACTCTTCTGCAGTCTACTGCAAATAACACGAAGACTTCATCCTTTAGCGGAAATGCCTGTGTCATCAGCGAACAAAGATTTGTGGCAACCCTGAGGCAAATCAGGGAGGTCCGAAGTGAAAATGTTATACAATATAGGCCCAAGAATGCTACCCTGAGGAACTCCTGCTCTATCAGGTAGTCGATTAGATTTAGAATTTTGATAATTTACCTGCAGAGTTCTGTCAGTTAAATAATTCTGAAATAATTTCATAATATAAAGTGGAAAATTAAACTTTTCCAATTTAGCAATCAAACCTTCATGCCAAACACTGTCGAATGCTTTTTCTATGTCTAGAAGAGCAACTCCAGTTGAGAGGCCTTCAGATTTGTGTGAACGAAATTAAATTGGTAACTCTTAAGAGTTTTTTTTTCCTCTGTTCGGGACCTAACACTACTGCGACCAGTAAATTGATCTATTGTAGTATATCCCGTGTCCATAGTTTAGTGCATGTCGTATTACTCCATCACTTTTGAGAAATGATGAAGTATTCGATGTTTTTTACAGTTGCCACTCTTGCTTTTATCGCAAGGATCCGACTCCAATTGAAAGGTCCCGTATTTATACCCTTCGGAGTGTTGAAAAACCCTCCAAAGGCCCACCCCTGTGTCAGTCAAAATCGGATTCCTTAGCAATAAAATTAAGGGAACAATGAATAGAAGATTAGGGATCACATAGATGAAGAATAACTTACTCATTTTTTCCTTGTTTCAAGATCATCCTCGGTGGACAAAGCCGAGTTTTGTCACAGGCATAAAAAGTAACAAGGACTAAGATGTGTTCCTTTGATTACTGAAAAATCCTGTTCCCCTAGTTTGAAGTAGTCAGCACTAGGAATCGGTGGTTGATCTTACATCCCGTAACGTACCACGAAAAGGTGATCTACCCACGTTACGGGGGAACTCTTAAGAGTTGATGAGTAGTTGAATGCTCATGGCGAAATCTAAACTGCTCATATGCGAAAATTGAGTTCGTATTGATGTGAAGCATCATTCTATTTAAAATTATCTTTTCAAAAAGTCTACTTATTGAAGAAAGCAAACATATTGGACGGTAGCTAGAAGCTTCAGCTGAATTTTTATCCGGCTTCAAAATTGGAACAACTTTTGGTCACAGACTGAAAGACGTGTTGAATCCAATTTTAAAACCTTTAGTTATATGACAGTGTGGCAAGGGTAATACCAACAATCAATTCGAAACTAACGGTTTTAAATTGGCTCACTACTTGACTAACCTATTGGTCCCAAGCAAATCGATTACCGTACCCCATTCTAGTTGAAATTCTAGTACTACACTAGGTTTATTTTTATTCACTATGAATGTTTGATAGATAAAATGTTCGTGGATTTTCCTATGTTTCGAGGGGTGCATCGATTAGCTTGGGACCGAAGATAGTACCAGAGCTGAGCTCGTTTCTTCGGGACCTTCTGGTCTTAGAGTTACCTCGATGGTATTACAAATATGTCTGTATTGGAAATTGAACGCTGCACTGCAGTTGAAAATAAAACGAGGAACCCTCTTACAACAGTGAAAGGGAGAGACGGGAGATACATGGACGTTGTGCGTTGGACGTAGCTCGATAGCGCTATTTTCGGTACTTTATTATGACTCACCCGTTCGCTTATGCAAATCAATAGGTACAGTACCGGACGTAAGCATATAACATCTGGATTTTGTTTTCTCTTCTAAACAGTTCAAAGAGTTCAAAGAGCTGTAACTTTTTTGGATGCCGTGATATTGTCTGAAATCTGTGCTGCTGGTTGATCAAGAATTCGAAACATATCGGTAGAATTTTGAACATTATTAGAAGTTTGAACATTGTTAGCAAAACGCTTCTTTTTTGAGTAGCCTATTTAAAAATTACATTTCCTGGAGTACCTAAATTTTGCTCATTGACAGTTGATAGTTGATAGTTTTTTTTTTCATATGCCTAAAGTTTCACTAAAATCCGTTTTGTACAAACAAACTTTTAACAGTTTGATGATTTCGCTATCTGAAAAATTAGGCAAGGTTATATACTTTTGTCCGAGCTGGATTTTCACTCTGCGGACAAAAGCATATATCTTCCTTTCACGTGGCAGCAGAGAAACGATGTTATATGCTTTTGTCCGCAGAGTGAAAACCCAGCTCGGATAATCTTGCCTAATTTTTCAGCCGGCTATATAAATCAAACTGTTATATCTTTTTTGCATATCCATCCGGGAAATGTAACATTCTATTGATAAGATTTTCATGAAAAATATGCAGAATTTGCAATGTTTCACGACATGAACAGACTCGTAATGTGGTCGCCAGAAGGTTTTTAAAATAATTTTGATTTTTTTTTGTTTGTTTATTTTCATACAAAGTGTATTTCCCCAAACGCATTCCTCAAAAAAAAAATCATATCGTGAAGGTTTTATACGAAAAATATACATTCTGGAAAAACTTGCAAGAATTGTCATTACTTTTGTTGTATGAAACATATGCAGAGGATGTAATATTTAAATCCAACCTTACATTGATAAATTTGTTTTGCGTGACGGATATTAGTGAAACTTTAGGTATATGAAAGACCTATGTCTTAACTATTAATCAGCAAAATTTCCGCATATTTGGTTCAGTGTACTCCAGGAAATTCAATTTTTAAATAGACTACTCCAAAAAGAAGAATTTTGCTGAAAATGCTCAAACTTCTTCAACCGATTGCGCTCAAAATTGTACCGATAAATTTCGATTGCTTGATCAACTCAGCCGCCCAGATTTCAGAATATTCCATGGACATTCGAAAAAGATACAAAATCGCAATGTATTGCAATTGCAATACTTATGCCCGGTACTGTAGGCAGGACCGGATATTCAGTCTGTGGGAAGCAGTTTTGGAGTTGTGGAAAGGTTGTTTTCACACCGCTTCCCACTAGGTGCGTCAATTTAGTTATGTAGCCTTATGTGTGTGTAGGACCCCAGTCGCCGTGAAATGCGTTGAAACCCATTCAAACTCCCACAATCGATTCAGAGACTGCCTTCTGTCTATCTACTACCCAGTGCCAGTGTGTGGGTGGTTGACTCTTTCCTCTGCGTCCTCTTGTTGCCTCTGCGTGTGGCCGGGAGCCATTCTACCTTGTATTCTACATAATTGAGCAAACATGTCTCGAAATCGATTCAACAGAATGACGAATAAAATACTTAACTATCTATTTGGTGGGTGAGTAGGTAGGAGGGCTGGCGACAGACGGCCGGTTTGATCAATACCATACCTATAAATCGAGACGGTTTATTCGCACCGTAAAAGGTTATTTTCACGTTCAACGAGTGATTGCGTCATTTGGTACTGATTTCAAGTGGAACAGAAAAACAAGCCCGTTTGAGCGGAAAGTGTAATTCCATCTAGGGGGAGGTGACGGCAGACTGAATTTAAAGGCCCACGCACGAGTGAATCAATGGATTTTTTTTTAATAATTGAAAACAACTTTTAATTAGAGGTTCATGCTTCTTTTCATTGCTGTGTTTATTTCTGGGAATTTTGAACTATGCTATCAAAATGGAGAAATAGCGTCACTGTTGAATAGCGAGAAAAAATGGTGCATGATGTTGTGTGTGGTTCGGTTTGACTTCGTAACGGTAGTTCAACGAATCAGCTTTCTAGTATTCCTCAGCGCCTTCACCCTCGCCCTCACCGGAATCCATGCCGACTTCCTCGTAATCCTTCTCGAGGGCAGCCAAATCCTCACGGGCTTCGGAGAATTCACCTTCCTCCATACCTTCACCGACGTACCAGTGGACGAAGGCGCGCTTGGCGTACATCAGATCGAACTTATGATCCAGACGGGCCCAGGCTTCGGCGATGGCGGTGGTGTTGGACAACATGCATACGGCACGCTGAACCTTGGCGAGATCACCACCTGGAACGACGGTTGGTGGCTGGTAGTTGATACCAACCTTGAAACCGGTTGGGCACCAGTCGACGAATTGGATGGTACGCTTGGTCTTGATGGTCGCGATAGCAGCATTGACGTCCTTGGGGACAACGTCACCACGGTACAACATACAACAGGCCATATACTTGCCGTGACGTGGGTCACACTTGACCATCTGGTTGGCCGGTTCGAAGCAAGCGTTGGTGATTTCAGCCACCGACAGCTGCTCGTGGTAGGCCTTCTCGGCCGAGATGACCGGGGCATAGGTGACCAGCGGGAAGTGGATACGTGGGTACGGCACCAAGTTGGTCTGGAACTCAGTCAGATCGACGTTCAGGGCACCATCGAAACGCAGCGAAGCAGTAATGGAGGAAACAATCTGACCAATCAGACGGTTAAGGTTGGTGTAGGTTGGACGTTCAATATCCAAGTTGCGACGGCAGATATCATATATTGCTTCATTGTCGACCATGAAGGCACAATCCGAGTGTTCCAGGGTGGTGTGGGTGGTCAGAATAGAGTTGTAAGGTTCAACGACGGCGGTTGAAACCTGAGGAGCTGGGTAGATCGCGAATTCCAGCTTCGACTTCTTGCCATAATCAACCGAAAGACGCTCCATCAACAGCGAGGTGAAACCGGATCCGGTACCTCCACCGAACGAGTGGAAGATCAGGAATCCCTGCAGACCGGTACATTGGTCAGCCAGCTTACGGACGCGGTCCAGAACCAGATCGACGATTTCCTTGCCAATGGTGTAGTGGCCACGAGCGTAGTTGTTGGCGGCATCTTCCTTTCCAGTGATCAACTGCTCGGGGTGGAACAATTGACGGTAGGTTCCGGTGCGGACCTCATCGACTACGGTTGGTTCCAGATCGACGAAAACGGCACGGGGCACGTGCTTACCGGCTCCAGTCTCGCTGAAGAAGGTGTTGAACGAGTCATCACCACCTCCGATGGTCTTGTCCGATGGCATCTGACCATCGGGTTGAATTCCATGCTCCAAACAGTACAGTTCCCAGCAGGCGTTACCAATCTGGACACCAGCTTGGCCGACGTGCACGGAGATACATTCACGCTGTTGGGAAAAGCAAGAGGTGAAAGTATAAAATTAACGGCTTTCTAAAATTGGCCTGCATAACGGTGAAAGGCAGTGAGAGGAAATCTGGGATGCCACATGGACGGAAATAACTGCATTGTTCGGCTTCTCTTTTGCTTTCTATGCTACTCACTGCAGCATAGCAGCAGATGATGAGTCACTGCTCACGATTCATGGCAACGTATAATGAAAATTTTATGGGCGTGGTTTCCAGGTAAATGTTCTAGAACATTATTTTTTCAGTTTGAAATACACTTAATTCTGTTTTACGGGATTTTTATTGCCTCTATTTTTGACCGTGTGATCCAAAATTTAAACCAAATTTAATGCAACTCGTTTAAAAAAATCAATGTAAAATATGGTGTTATAAAATGTACCCATCATGCATGAGTGAAAAATCGATAAAAAAAAACAAATAAAATCGCATAAAAACAGAATTGAGTGTAATTTCTACAGCATTTCCAACAAATCCACGCTCCAAGCAGAATTTCAACTTTTTGATGAGTCACTTTCTACCCGTCCCATAAAACATCTGCCGGTAGATAGTGGAAAATTCCCAGATTTCCTTTGACCTTTACACAATTTCACTCGATTTTCACTCAGTTTTCACTGCAAATAACCACTTTTACTTACCATTTTGATGCAAAAGATTCGGCAAATTCCACAAAAAGCAGAAAAGATTTAGCAGTTAATAAATTAATGCAAGCTTGTAGTTTGATCAGATAAATCCACTCGAGCTTGGACACAGCAGATCAGGACGCCTTCCAAACTGAGAATGAAGCAAAGCGCTGCCTGCTGGGGTTATTTATGGACACCGGTTTGGAGAGAGCGGAAACTGTTATGCGCAGACGCCATGGTAACGTGGGCCGATGATGAGGGCTTTTTTTTGTCTTGATCGAATGCGGCATAGAGCGTAGGATATTTTCTACTTCATGCATGGGAAGAGATGCCGTGTGATGACGTGATGCGACGACGATATAAATCGCGAGGGTTGATTGTGCTGGAGTTTCTCCGGAGCAATCTTCTCCGACTGGAGGAACGGCTGTGGAGAGAAGGTTGATATTTTCTCGCAGATTTGAATTTTTCATGAGAGAAGGCTCGAACGGGAGATTTCTGTTGGTTTTGTGCTATCTTGTTCCAATGTACTTGCATGTCTTGCTCCAATGGAAATCATTATGCTTGAGGTAAAACTTGCATTGTGGGGCTAGTGCATATGTAGGTTTACTTTGAATTATGTACAAAAATCATACAAAATCACGGAAGTCGATAATGAGCCGATGGAAATGATGTCTGCGCTTATTGGCCATCCGATATCACTACAGTTGTTTGTTGCGACATCTGTTGGAAATTATGCATAAACTGCTTTCCACTAGTTGTTAACAGATGACAGTGCAGTCAACAATCAAAAATATCCCTTCGAGTACCGGACGCTGCTTGTGACTTTGACTTTAAATGCTCTTTATTTCTTGTATTTGTGCGATTTACATGTATGACTTATCAAGTGACACAGATGCGTCTTTTCAACTTTAGTTCAATTATTATTAATAACATTTCCTAGTCCTATCAGGCCTGTTCAGATAATGACCATCTTGGTGGGATTGGTTTGTTTGAAATTGGAAAAACGAGACTACTTAAAACTACTATTTACAACTACAACTAACCTACAACTGCTATATACACCTAACCTACTATACACAAATTGCTTATCAAAGCCTATAGATGGAGATTCGAAATTCTTGTATCGAGAGGACGATCAAGTACCATCCTCAGCACTCTATTCTGAGCGACCTGGATTTTGTTCCTGTGCGTCTGTGCACAGGATTCCCACACTGGAGCTGCGTAGAGGATCGCAGGTGCTATTATTTGTTTGTAGACAGCCAGTTTGTTCACCCTTGAGAGGCGGGATTTGCTGCAAATCAGCGGATACAGACACATAACCAAGGTGGAACATTTGACTACGGTATTCTCCACATGCGAGCGAAATAGGAGCTTTTCGGCAAAGAAGATCCCGAGATAGGTTACTTCGGTGGACCAGTCAACCCAACTGGAGCCGGTTTTAGTTTGATCGATTGCCGATGGAGGAATATGATTGCTTGAGTTTTGGAGGCATTGATTTTGATTTTCCACGTGGTGGCATAACCAGCAAAGGCGTTGAGGCATCCTTACTTTGACGGCTATTGCGGTATCATCTGCGAACAGGAAAAACACGCAACCGCCTCCGAGGGGAGGAATGTCGGAAGTGTGAATACTGTAAAGCAAAGGTCCCAGCAGACTGCCATGCGGGACTGGAAAACGTGTCTGAAAGACAACCATTCAACGATACCTTTGCTGGAGGTAGTTCTGGGTGATTTTAACAAGATGTAATGGGAAGTTGAAGTTACAAAGCTTGTACACAAGTCCGTCATGCCAAACATTGTCAAACGCCTTTTCAACGTCTAGCAAGGCCATAGCTGTGGACTTGGATACGGCTTTGTTACTTCGGATGTTATTCATCACCCGTACTAGCTGGTGATAGGTGAAGTGCCCCTTTCTAAACTCAAACTGTTCCGGAAGGAGAATGTTATTTTCTTCGACAAACTTGAGCAAACGAATGAGAATTAGTTTCTCGAACAATTTGCTCAGCGCTTAAAGGAGGCTGATTGGTCTGAAGTTTGAAGGCAATGTTTTTGCTATCTTCCAGACGCTTGAAAAGTAGTGCAGTTTCAAGCATCTGTAGAAGATAGCGGTTAGAAGAGACTGCACTTTCATGCTGAGTCTCTTCAAGATCAAGTTGAATATACCGTCAAACCCGGGAGCCTTCATGTTCTTGGTGCATTTCAGCGCTGGGCAAATCTGTAGTACTGTAATCATATCCGCCGGAGGCACGACACAATGGGAGGCATCTAGGTTTTGAACGAATTGCGCAACCTGATCCGTACTTTGGACAGTCGAAACAAGCAAATGCGATGAAGCGACATGCTCACCGATCGCATTTGTTTTCTCCTGTGGGGTGATTAAAAGTCGATAGTCATCATTTTTAACTCTTGAAAGGTGGAACGGGTTTGGAATGAGTTTTTTCACATACACTCAAGAATGGCTCTACCAAAAATAATGCACATGTTCATGAACGCCGTTAAACTTCTATGAAAGTACATCAGGTTCATGAGCAGTTCAAAATTTTTATTTATTTATTTATTTAATATTCAACACTGGCGACATCTGCGTTGAGCTTTTACCGCAATCTTCCAATTCTAGAACTCCATGGTCCCTTCAATATCGAGTTCTAGTGAGTTCACTGATTTTTTTTTTTAAATACCGTTTGCGTTGTGAACCAATTAAAATTGCACACATAACCAACATAGATGGAGTATTAGATTTCCATTTTCAATGTAGTTTCTTTACTGATACATTCCATTTATAGATCAGTACAGACGCCGGCCGCTTCCTCACAGGCTTTGGGGAGGGGAAGGATGATTAGTTTGACAATCGTTCGAGTATAAACCTCTGCATCTCCACAATAGCCGCGGGAAGAATAGTTGTGTTAGAGGGTCGGCTTATTTTTGGATCGCTGTGGTATGTGATGCGATCAGTGAATGCAGATTGCTTTTGTTTTAAATATAGTGAGCATAGAATAAGGCAAGGTGAAAAATTGCAACGAAGGAGACGGGCCTGGGATTGAACTCTCGATCTTTCACACTTAGAATTTTTTACCGAAATCTGTAAAATTTTACCGAAATCTCAACAGCTGAACGTTCGGTAAACAGTTTCGCAGATTTCCTGTAATTTTTCACAAATATCTGTGAATTTATCACAGATATCTGTAAATAATTACAGGAAAACTGTAAAATTGTCTACCGAGCGTTCAGCTGTTGAGATTTCGGTAAAATTTTACAGAAATCTGTAAACTAATCTTAGTGTGTTCACTCAGTAAGCAGAAACGTTAACCACCGAGCCTTGCCATTGATAAATAGAGCAGTTTCGGGTCAAATAGCAAAACAAAAATGAATTTTTGACTTGACCTTCTCCGATTTGTATGATTTAATCGGTGACCGGATATTAGCCATACGGATGTTTGCGATACGTACGATTGCTATAAAGACGATAACCATAATAGACGATAGCCATAATAGATGATTTATTTCAACATCAACAGGCGTTATTTGCCCCAATGATGTAACTTAAACTAAACATGAAAAGTACTAAAACAAAACATCAATAAGTACATAGAAAGTCATCTCGTGAAAAAAAGGAACATTACTAAACAAACTAAACTGATCTAGAAAAAAACGAACTAAACCTCCGGCGAAGCAGCTGGCGAGTCACCCGAAAAAAAATAACAACAAAAATACATTAAAAAACAATGTAACAATAAGACGAAAATTATTGTCTTAACAATGATTTATGTTGTTACGTCTACAATAAATTTACCTTGATTTATGTTGTACAAAACAGTAAATTTCATGGTAAATGGAAAATTTACAATAAAAAAGGGGGGTTGTTAAGTATCTTAACAATGAAATTTTCGTGATTTTCCCATATAATTTTTTTTCAATAACATTATATATTATTGTTATTTTACTGTTGGTTGGCGAATTTATTGATTAAAAAAAATAACAGTGTATGTGTTGGCTTGACAGATCTACTTTATCGACTTTAAAAATAAATCGAAAAAATAAAACATTGCCCCGGGAAGGGAGGGGGTGGTATGTCTGTTACGGGTGGTCCTTTTTTTACTGGTTATGGATCGAGATTCGATCCGGAACTTGTGAGAAATACAGGCCAACTCCCCTGCGCTCGATATCCCTAGGTCACGTCTCCTTGGTGGTTGAGCGTCGTTGATAAGTTAATGCATTCGACTGGAGAGAATCGCCCATGAAATATGCTTCCACCTGAGAGTTCCTTCCTGACATCTTCAAGTGGTGGAATTTTTTATTATTATTGTATGATTATTGACTGCACGGAAAAGGTCTCCATTAAGCTTTAGAGAGGGTCTAGGATAAGATATGAGCGGACGCGGAATGCCTGGTTTTGAGCCAAACGATCTGTCAAAGCCAGAGCCATACGAGCAGCGCCTATCTTATAGCGAATTCGTTTATTATTCGGTTCCAACCTGGATCGGGTATCAAGATTGGGTCTGCTTGTTTTCTAGCAAACGTCAGTTTGATCGTTTGTTTTTAAAACTTGGCACGGGTCGAGGTTCGCACTGACAAAAAGTTCGGGTTCGCACCCCGATAATAAACGAATTCGCTATTAATTAAATTGGCAGTGTTGCTGACCCTCTCATAGTCTGCATGCTACAATCAGATTTATTTTTATTGTTCGTGAAGTAACCTACAATGAAAATACACCAATATTTAATGTAACAACAATTTTTATTGTAATAGAGTTGTTCATTATTGTTCATGATCGAATCATGTTAACAATAAAATAAATGAAAAATACGATAAAAATCATTGTAACAACATTTTATTATGTACATTCATTGTACAGCTACGTAGCAGTTTTGCCGTTTTCGGAAGAGTACAACATTATAACAATCATTTTTATTGTCGACAATAAATATTAATGTTAAAGCATTGTTTCCACTGAAAATTTCACTGTAATTTTTTTTTCGGGCAGGTAAAAATCAAACAGTGCGGAGACCCTATTGAAGAGTCTCTGTAAACCACCGATAGCACTGAACATGCTATAATTAGTTCGCTGTATGGGCAGGCGCAGCATTGAATTAATCCGTAGGGCTCGGGGTTGAACATTGATGTCAATTTGCTCAAGGAGGACACGGCAATCGGTGCGTCCTTGCAAAATATCCGCA